AATGGAGAAAGAATGAAAGAAAATAGGAAAGGAAGAAATTAGTTGGAATTGAGAGCTTTTAGGATTATTATGGTGGGTACAGATGGAAGAGGGCATTTATGGGCAGACCTGGGAAGGTCATGGAGCAGATCCTCCTAGCAGATATGTTAAGACATATAAAAGACAAGGAGGTGATCCAAGGCAGACTGTGGAAATCAAATCTGGGGCCTACGTAAGGGGTTATGTAAGTGAAGGTTCGTGAGATGGATGTGGTGAATGGTTGTATCAGTCAGCAACTGTTGAGGCTAAAGCAGTGAGCATCTTGATGGAAGTCATCTGGAAACATCCTTCAGATCTCCATGGGAAAGAAAAGGAATAGAGAATCCACTTCTGAATGCTTTGGTGTGAGAAGCAGGAACCTTATTAATTCAAACAATAACAACTGAAGTGTTTGGGGAAGGAGACTTCTGGGCAATTAAAAGCCCCAGAGAATTCATCGAAGTTCTGCAAGGATCAGCTGAGCTACAGACAAGGTGCCAGATTAGGTCCTTAAAAACCTGGAGGTAAAAAAACATCAGAAAGCAGGATGGGGAACTTCACATTTAATTGGACTATTCAAACCACCAGTGACCTACTGTAATGGACTATTAAAAGACGGAGTCTGCTTTGCCACTGCCCTGGAGCTCAGAGCTAAAAAGTCTCAGTGCACCAGCTGGGCTGCTGCAGGAGCTGAGCTGCTTCAGGAGCTCCAGGAGATACCCAGCAAGCAAAAAGTTGTTACAGTCAAGAGCACGGCAAGTACTTTCCCACATAGGGCGTGCCAGGCAGATCTGGCTTGGATACCGGGATACCAACCCATGGGCAGTCAGGGTCCAATTTGGTACCGTCACTCGGATACAGGTGAAGTGGCCAATGGGCACCCAGGGTGTACCCGGTGAGGTATTTAGGGTGGTGCCCAGGGTGGTGGCAGTATCCCCTACCACTGTTACCCTGCCTGCCTGCTCTCTCCTCGGAGGCCACAACAGGACCAGGGTTGAAGCACCCTGTGGTGGTGGTAACTCCCGTGCTGTGCTTTTAACAATCACCCTCAGCTTTTCCCTGCTTTCCTGTCCTCCTGCTTTCTCTCCGCTCCCTTGTGTTACAAAATAAAGTCAAGTTATCATTTTGGAATCCAGCATCTGGCCGAGTTTGGGCCTTAATCTCACTTTTGGGAATGTTTTAGATCCTGGTTTCCCACTGCATCTCAGCGGATCAGAACAGCTTCCCTAAGTGACTTCAGTGAACTACCCATCAATTCAGAACTGGTTTGTCTTCAAATACTCTCTAGATTTGGTTGGTTGGTTGGTGGCTGTTGTTGCAGAATTCACAGCATATTCTGCTAATTTTTTTCTATAGTCTACATTTTTATTTAACCTCAAAATGACTGTGCATATCCCCTTTGCATACTGTAATATTAAATATTCACGTAATGAAAATACACATAAAATGAGGATGTGCTCAAACAACCTATTTATTCAACCTGGTTTACATTAATTTATCCAATATCACAAACAAGACAGCATCCAATACCAGGCTAGTTTTAAATGTATTTTCTTTCATTTCAGGTGACTGATTCCTCTGCTGAATCCTGATTTTTTTCCCACTGTCTGATAAAACATCATTTATCATGAGAATGTTCATTAAATCATGGATTCCTCGGTGTCTGCAGATACTCAGGTCACCTTGCAGATCCTTCCATGGATACAAGAGGCTTCTGACATCTCAGATTATTTCCCATTATGATTCTATAAACCAGTATAAAAAGGAACTGCCAAAATATTTCAACTTTGCGAGTGATGTCTTAGATGAGTGGTCACAACTGGAAAAGGTAGTATTTGTCTTTTGCTTTTTAGACATTGTGTTGTAATTTAAGCCCAGCCAGCAACCAAGTACCACAGAGCTCCTGGATCACATGAACACACACATGCACACCCCCCAGGGGGGTGGGGAGGAGACTCAGGAAAGAAGAGGTAAACCCCATGGGTTGAGGTAAGAATAGTTTAAGAATTGAAGTAAAATAACATATAATAATAATAATAGTCATCATCATAACAGTAACAGTAGTGATGAAAAGGGAGGCAACAAACAGAGAGAAGGAAAAACAAAGTGGAGTGATACACAACGTGATTGCTCACCACACCCAGGCAGTGCCCACGCAGTGATTGGCACCTCCTGACTAGGTTATATCCCCAGGTTACACTGAGCAGGACGTTCTGCGGTGTGCAATACCCCTGTGGGCAGTTTGGGTCAGCTGTCCTGCCTGTGCTCCCTCCCAGCGCCTTGTGCGCCTCGTCAACAGAGCGTGGGAAACTGAAAAGTCCTTGACTTAGAGTAAGCACTGCTTAGCAACCACTAAAACATCAGCGTGTGACCAACATTATCCTCATCCCAAAGCAAAAAAGCACAGCACTTTACCAGCAGTTAGGAAGAAAATTGACTCTACCCCAGCCAAATCCAGAACTCACTGGAACAAAGCTCAGATGATACAAATCAGTTTTCCTGATGGATACTGGCTAGATTAGCTGCAGAGTGGAATGCAACATTTTGTTTGGCTTGTCAGACATACAGGTATCACTCTGAGAGACTAGTTACCAGGGAGGATGTGCCTAGTCTGGAGTGATTTTGTTTTGAAACAAAATCTTTTAAGGTCTGTCTTCTTACTTTACTCTCTTCCGTTGTGTTCTAGGATGGAAGAAAACCAGCAAATCCAGCTTTTTGGTGGGTAAATGAGGAGGGAGAGGAGGTGAAGTGGAGCTTTGAAGAGCTGGGATTTCTCTCCAGGAAGGCAGCCAATGTGCTCTCTGAGGC